CTCTCGTTGCTCTGTCCCCACCCACTATACACTCCAAGAGGGAGGGACACTTTCTGGCCCTCGCAGGTGCTTGGTTGAATGAACAGTAGAAGAACGAAAGCACCCAAGTGTTAGCGCATGGGCTTCATGACAATATCCAGCTCCCTTATCAGAGGCATAGTTTTGCTTCTTACTGGGTTTGGTTGTGACAGAGTGAATGGAGGTCCCGTCTGATAAGTGAAGCATAACTGTCTGCCCTGGGATGCAGCAAGGGCAAGCTGGCTGTGGACTCCAGCAGTTGAGTACAGAGCCAAGGTCTGAGGGCAGTGTCTGTGCCAGCACCATGAGGAGAATCTCTTGTTCTGGGTCCCAGGGCTGTTCATAGTGATGAGTGGGGAGGATGTGGCTAGTCTCTGTGGTGTCCCGGTCCTCGTGCTTTGCAACTGCCACCTTGTCCCCAACGGCACCTCTTAAATCTCTCTCCTCAGAATCATCATTCAGAAAGTGTCACATGCACTTCCAGTGGAGAGTGCTGGAACCAGAAGACCTGGCCTGCCCTTGACTATAACCTTGGGCAATCACATAATCTCTCTGACCCTTTATTTCCCCATCTGTAAAATTGAGAGATAATAAAACCTAATTCACATGGTTTTAAATGTCACAAGTGAACATTTGAAATGTGGTCATTATTATTATTACAATGGAGTCACATCATATGTACGTTAAACTCATGCAAATTTAACTACATATGCTTGACAACAAAAAGAGATAGAGAAATGATACAGTAGGTAATTCTGCTGTCTTTCTACTCACTGAGTAGATCTCGCAGAGAGAATGTGACGTGGCAGACACCGGACTGCTGGGTGCTCCATCACTCTCTGTCCTGTGAGCCTCTTTCGGTGTGAGTGCAGGTTATAATGATAACTGGACTCAATTCTTTAAATTGAGATATAATTGACATATAACATTATATTAGTTTCAGGTTACAATATAATGATTCAACATCTGTATATATTGCGAAATGATCGCCACCCTAAGTCTAGTTAACATCACACGTGGTTACAGTTGTTTTTTTCTTATGATGAGACCTTTTAAGATCTTCTCTCTTAGCAACTCTCAAATATACAATACAAAATTATTAACTATAGTCACCATGCTGTACATTACATTCCCTGAACTCATTTATCTTGTAGCTGGAAATTTGTACCTTTTGACTACCTTTGCCCCTTTTGCCCACTCCCTGCCTCTGACAACCACCAATCTGTTCTCTGTATCTATGAGTTTGATGTTTGTTTGTTTGTTTGTTTGACTCCACATATAAGTGAGATTATATGGTATTTGTCTTTCTCTGTCTGACTTCTTTCACTTAGCATAATGCCCTCAAAATGTCTATCCATATTGTCACAAATGGCAAGATTTCCTTCTTTTTCATGGCTGAATAATATTCCATTGTGTGGGACTTCCCTGGTGGTGCGGTGGTTAAGAATCTGCCTGCCAGTGCAGGGGGCACGGGTTCGAGCCCTGGTCCGGGAAGATCCACATACTGTGGAGCATCTAACCCTGTGCACCACAACTACTGAGCCTGTGAGCCACAACTACGGAAGCCCACGTGCCACAACTACTGAAGCCCACGTGCCTAGAACCCATGCTCCACAACAAGAGAAGCCATCGCAATGAGAAGCCCGTGCACCACAACAAAGAGTAGCCCTCACTAGCTGCAACTAGAGAAAGCCTGCGTGTAGCAACGAAGACCCAACACAGCCATAAATAAATAAGTAAAAATAAAATTATAAAAAAATATATTCCATTGTGTGTGTGTATGTGTATATATGTGTGTGTGTATTCATCCACTGATGAACATTTAGGTTGCTTCTGTGTTTTGGCTAGTGTAAATAATGCTGCAGTGAACATGGGGGTGCAGATATCTTTTCAAGTTAATGTTTTCATTTCTTTCAGATAAATACCCAGGAGTAGAATTGCTGGATTTTACAGTAGTTCTATTTTTAAGTTTTTGAGGAACCTCCGTACTGTTTTTCACACTGGCTGCACCAACTTAAATTCCCACCGACAATGCACAAGGGTTTCTTTTTCTCCACGTCCTTGTCAACACTTGTTATTTCTTGTCTTTTAGATAATAGCCAGTCTATCAGGTTTGAGGTGATATCTCAGTGTGGATTTTTTTTTTTAATCTACGCATTCTTTTTTTTTAAATAAATAAATTAATTATTTATTTATTTTGGCTGCGTTGGGTCTTCGTTGCTGCACATGGGCTTTCTCTAGTTGCAGCAAGTGGGGGCTACTCTTCATTGCAGTGCGTGGGCTTCTCATTGCGGTGGCTTCTCTTGTTGTGGAGCACGGGCTCGAGGTACACAGGCTTCAGTGGTTGTGGCTCGAGGGCTCTAGAGTGCAGGCTCAGTAGTTGTGGCGCACTGGCTTAGTCGCTCCGCAGCATGTGGGATCTTCCTGGACCAGGGCTCAAACCCATGTCCCCTGCATTGGCAGGCAGATTCTTAACCACTGCACCACCAGGGAAGTCCCCTCAGTGTGATTTTTTTTTTTTTTTTTTTCCTCAGTGTGATTTTGATTTGCATTTCCCTGATGGTTATGAGCATCTTTTCAAGTACCTGTTGGTCATCTGTATGTCTTCTTTGTAAAAATATCTATTCAGATCCTCTACCCATTTTTTAATCAGATTGTTTGTTTGTTTGTTTGCTATTTCATTGTATAAGTTATTTACATATTTTGGATATTAAACATTTATCAGATATGTGATTTGCAAATATTTTGTCCCATTTGGTAGGTTGCCTTTTCATTTTGTTGATCGTTTCCTTTGCTGTGCAGAAGCTTTTTAGTTTCATGTAGTTCCACTTGTTGATTTTGCTTCACTTGCCTTTGCTTTTAGTGTCAAATCCGAAAAATCATTGCCAAAACCAATATCAGGGAGCTTACTACCTATGTTTTCTTCTAGGAGTTTTTGGTTCTGGTCCTACAGTCAAGTTTTTAATCCATTTTGAGTTGATTTTTACATATGATGTAAGACAGGGGTCCAGTTTCATTCTTTTGCATGTGGCTGTCCAGTTTTCCCAACACCAGTTATTGAAGAAACTGTCCTTTCCCCATTGTATGTTCTTGGCTCCTTTGTCATAAATTAGTTGACTGTATACGTATGGGTTTCTTTCTGGACCCTGTATTCTGTTCCATTGATCCATGTGTCTGTTTTTATGCCAATATCATACTGTTTGAATTACTATAGCTTTGTAATATAATTTAAAATCAGACAGTGTGATGCCCCCAGCTTTGTTCATCTTTCAAAATTGTTTTGGCTATTGGACTTGGTTTTTGACTCACTTACTGTAGTACCAGGTAGAAAATGCAGGGTGAGTCTTGCTCAGAATTTGGCAGCTCGGTTTGTATGTGTGTATATTTGGGGCACAATGAAGAAGGGATGAAGCAATATAGGGTGATTGGGATTCCAGGCCTAGTGTGGTTCCATCTACTAAAAGTAATGGACAGTTTCCATGACTTTGACCAATTGACCCTGGTCAGCAAGTGGGAAGTATATGCAGGAGGGTTGGTGGGGCTGGTAGAGTGATTCTTTCATCAACCTTTTAGTTTCCAAAGATCCCATGTACTCACTGGCTTCATTAGAACCTTGTGCTTTTGTACATACCCTGCACTCAAGTACCACTGTCTCTTTGCTCATACTGAGCCTGCCCCAGGGACACCTTCCCCAATCCCACTCACCTGCCCCCTTTCCTCTCTGAGTGGCTAAACCCTGCAGTCACTGGAGCACAAAGGTCAACTAATCATCTCCTTGTCTGCAGGCAGTAGGGTCTCTAGCCATTCCAGTTTGCCCAGCACAGAGGGATTCTCAGAATGAGGGACTTTCAATGGTGAAACTGGGACAGTTAGTCACTCTGATTGTCAGACAAGGGAGACATCTTTTACAGCCCACTTCAGATGGCTTCTCTTCCAGGAAATGTTGCCTGCTTCCTTAGCTGGGAGCAGTCTTTTTCTCCATGGAACATCTCCTAGTACATTATTTATGCCTGTCCTTGCCTGAACTCCACACGCACCTCTACTCCAGGATTTGAGTGAATGAGGCTATAGTTGAAGGATGTCTTGCTGTTGTGTGTCCTGTATGCATCAAGTGAGGGCCAGACTAGGAAGTGGCAGCAGGCTGGGTGACCTACCTGAGGACTGCCATTCAGCCCCTTTCCCCCCCAACCCCGCCGCAGAGTGTGAATTGCTGCAAAGCTGGCTTAGATCACTCTTTGAAACATTTAATTACATATAGAGATCTTCAAGGCTGTCTGTCACCTCCCAGGGAAATATTTCTTTTTTCCTGCTCCTTCTGAAGTTGGCTGCTTGGAAAGTAATGAAATTGAACTGAGGATGAAGGAACCAGGAGGTGTAGGCATTACTGTTAGGGAGACACAGGATGAAAGAGAGATGGGGGTGGAGGCGGTGACAGGGAGATGGAGCCGGGGGAGGGGCAGGGCGTTAGAAGACTTGTTCACAGAGAGTGAGATGCAAGAGGTGAGAAGAACTAATGTTTCAGGAAGAGAGGGAAAGAGAGAGAGATGGGAGCTGGGCTGGGGAGGCACCAAGACGGGGAGGAGGGTCACGGAGAAGAGGGGAGGCACCCTGGAAGAGACGGGGCCTGGCTGAGAGGAAGAGAGAGCCAACCAAGAAGAGTTTCAGCAAAGGTAAAATAACTTGTGGTTCCAGACTTTCAGTACCGGAGAGGGGGCTCTGGAGAGGCGTGGTTGGAATGGAATGACCCTGACTGGGAGACGCATTGAGGAAAGAAGCTTCTGAGCTTGGATGATTATTTGGGGGTGGAGTGGGGCTTGGCAAGGAGCTGACGGAGCTATGAAGCGCCAAAGCTTCCGTCCAGAAACCCCTTGCCGCCTCCTGTCCAGGGAAGAGCAATGCAGAGATGGGAAGGCTGTTTCCAGCCCCCATCCCAAGCAGAGTCCACGGGGATCCCTCTGCCCTGACCCGCTCCTCTCTTGCAGGCTGCGACAGCGACCACTGGGGCCCCCATTGCAGCAACCGGTGCCAGTGCCAAAACGGAGCCCTGTGCAACCCCATCACCGGCGCCTGCGTGTGTGCCGCCGGCTTCCGAGGCTGGCGCTGCGAGGAGCTCTGCGCGCCTGGCACCCACGGCAAGGGCTGCCAGCTGCCGTGCCAGTGCCGCCACGGCACCAGCTGCGATCCCCGCACCGGCGAGTGCCTCTGCTCGCCCGGCTATACTGGCGTCTAGTGAGTAAAGCCCGGGGCGGCTGGGAGAGCAGGATCAGGAAACACTTGGAGGGTCAGGATAGTCCTGGCTGTAAAATCTCCTGCGCTCCGACCCCAAGTCCTGCAGAGGCTGAACGCCCGGGCCTCGCCCACACCCTCAGATCCCTGTTGTCCAAGCCCCAGGGAGGACACATTCTGATGGAGGCTCTCATGGCCAGAGGAGCTGGCTGACCTCCTCCCAGGAGGCCCTCCCTGGTCCAGGCCCCAGACCTTAGTTTGGAATTCTGATCGTAACCCAGATGCCGTTGTTGACCCTTCCAGGCCATTTGAGGCAGAGCGGGGTGAGGGCCCTGGGCAGATATCTTGCACAGATTCGGGGAGTTTACTGCCCCTGTTCCTCTTCCCTTCCCTTCTCCCCTCAGACCCCAAGCAGCCCCTCACTCCAGTTCCCTGGAGACGGAGGCTGCATGGACAGGAGCCCTCCAAGACTGCTTAGTTGAGACCCCTTCAGAGGCAAGATTGAAGTTCTCCTCCCCACCCTATCAAAGGCTCAGTGGCCTCCCCAGCAGCCCCAGATCCTGAGGGGACACCCAAGGACTCTGGCTGCAGATACATCTTGGATGGATGTTGTGTGTCCCCTGCCCCAGTGTCTGGCCACAGCTCCAGGGGCAAAACATTGGGCTAAGGCCCAAGACCAAGACCCCAGACAAATCTTTCCCCGCATCTCAGCAGTGATAGTCCCTGTATAGAAGCCTGTTGTGGTAGCTGAAAGCCTGGAAGAGGGTGGAGGCATGCCCCAGATTCTCCCTTTCTCTGAATTTAGGCAGAATTTGAAGACTGGAGTCATGGCTACGTCTCATGGCCTTTGCTTGTCCTGTTCCTTCTGCCTGACATGCCCTTCCTCCCCTTCTCCCGGTGAAATTAACTTCACCTCCAAGACTCAAGTGAAATGTCTCCCTCTTAGGGAAGCCTTCCTCAGCTTTCCCTCCCAGTAGAGCACTCTTCTTTACACTAAAAGCACTTAAGTCATCCCGCAAGTACTGGTCCAAGCACACAACCTTCCAGTTCATTGTATCTGAGCCCTGTTTTCCCTCTCCTGGCCTTGTGTCTAGTATGGTTCACACTGACTGTGAATTCACTAACTTCTAGGGAGCCCGGGGGCCTTGGGACCGGCAGCACTAGGGCCCTGTGACCTGATCTGCATGCAGCTGCCTCTAACGCCTCTGCTTCCCCACGCAGCTGCGAGGAGCTCTGCCCACCTGGGAGCCACGGGGCTCACTGTGAGCTGCGCTGCCCCTGCCAGAATGGGGGTACCTGCCACCACATCACTGGCGAGTGTGCCTGCCCCCCAGGCTGGATGGTAGGTGGACCTGCAGGATCTGGGTGGGGCTCTGTAAGAGGTCTGAGCATCCCTCACATGTACCCTGGAGGGCTAAATTCCTCTCGCAGCCTGAATACCCTGCCTCCTCTTTATGGTCATGGGCATCATTAGACACTGCCAGTTGTGTCATGGACACAGCTTTGAATCCCAGGGCTCCCATCTAAGTGCTGTGTGACCTGAAGCAAGTTACTTAACCTCTCTGAGCCTGTGGTCCCTCATGTGCAAAGGAGTTGAATTATTCTCATAAATTGTCTCTGTCTTTCAGCATAGGGACTCACTTGAGCTGCCACGGGCTCTGACATGTGGTGAAAAGGGCATGGCGTAAAGATTGGGGTGGTGCAGAGGAAGGGAGAGAGCAGGGTATGAATCACCTTCATTTATAGAACTTCAGATTCCCAGCCTCCAACCTCTGTACTCACACACATACACATATTCTGATTCTGTGGGTCCCAGAATCTGTATTTTAACAAGTGCTCCAGGTGATTCTGATCCAGGTCTCTTGTCTAGGAACCACCATTGTGGGAAAGGGCGATGAGATTTATCACATCACATCAGGCCTCACATCCAATGTTGCCCTGAAAAAAGCCCTCAGCTATTCTAGTCTCTGCTTCCCCGTCTGCAAAGCTGGCATGAAAACCGTCAGCCCTGGGACTTCCCTGGAGGTCCAGTGGTTAAGACTTCATGCTTCCAATGCAGGGGACGCGGCTTTGATCCCTGGTCAGGGAACTAAGATCCCACATGCCGCGTGGTGTGGCCAAAAAATAAAAAAATTAAAAATTAAAAAAAACAAAAAAAACAGCCCTGCCCTTCATAGCAGCATGGTTGGCAGAAGGCTCAGATGAGGCAGTGCACATCCAATGTGCCTTGCAAGCTCTGGAGTGCTCTGCAGTTGCTTTTCGTATGTCCCTGGATGCCACAGAGAAGCCACAGCCTCCTTTTAGCCAGTATGCTCCCCCTGTCAGTGTCCCCACCCTCCACAGTCCCAAGCCCCTCAGAAGCAGTGAGTCACGGAGGCTGACTTTCCCGTTTCAGGGGGAGCTCAGTGACACAGCCGCCTTTCTCCCCTGGAGCCTGAGGCTTTGCAAAGCCAGGAAGGACAGGGCTGCTGAGCAGGAGTGGGATCTTTCAGGAGGCTGTGAACGACGAGGTCAGGGTGTGTGTGTGGAGGGGTGGACAGCAGGAGGGATGGCTGCAGGGCCTATTGAGGTAGGCAGAGATTTGCCAGAGTTTTTCATTTTTTGGTTTTTTTTTTTGCGGTACGCAGGCCTCTCACTGTTGTGGCCTCTCCCGTTGCGGAGCACAGGCTCCGGACACGCAGGCTCAGCGGCCATGGCTCACGGGCCCAGCCGCTCCGCAGCGTGTGGGATCTTCCCAGACCGGGGCACGAACCCGTGTCCCCTGCATCAGCAGGCAGACTCTCAACCACTGCGCCACCAGGGAAGCCCTATTGGTAGACTTTTTAATGATGGCCATTCTGACCAGTGTGGGGTGGTACCTCATTGTAGTTTTGATTTGCATTTCTGTAATAATTAGCAATGATGATCATCTTTTCATGTGCCTATTGGCCATCTTTGGAAAAATGTCTGTTTAGGTCTTCTGCCCATTTTTCGATTGGGTTGGTTTTTGCTGTTGTTTTGTTTCTTTTTTTCTTTTTTTTTTTTTTTTGCGGTACGCGGGCCTCTCACTGTTGTGGCCTCTCCCATTGCGGAGCACAGGCTCCGGACGCGCAGGCTCAGTGGCCATGGCTCACGGTCCCAGCCGCTCCATGGCACGTGGGATCTTCCCGGACCGGGGCACGAACCCGTGTCCCCTGCATCGGCAGACGGACTCTCAACCACTGCGCCACCAGGGAAGCCCGGCCCCCTCCTTTTTTATGCTCCATTTAGCCATGGTCCTCTTTAAGCGCAGCTGGTTTCCGGATTTTGACAGAACCATTTGATCTAACCAGTCCCGAGAGGAGCAGGACTGTTGCCTCACCTCATCTCTAACCTTCTAGATGCCACACAGCCTGAGATCCCACCACACTTGGAGATACGCTTTCAGGTGACCGTAGGGCAGGTGTGTTAGGGCTGTCACAACAAAGTAACACAGACTGGGTGGCTTAAACAACAGAAACTTGTTTTCTCACAGTTTTAGAGGCCAGAAGTCTGAGACCAAGGTGTTGGCAAGATTGGTTCCTTCTGAGGCTTCAGTCCCTGGCTTGTAGACGGCTGTCTTCTCCCTGCATCTCCACATGGCCTTCCCTCTGTACCTGTGTGTGTCCTAATCTCCTCTCCCAATGAGGACATGGGTCATATTGGATTAGGGCCCACCCTAATGACCTCATTTTAACTGTATTGCCTCTCTCAAGCCACGTTGTAAGTTGCCAGGGGTTAGGATATATGAATCTAGAGGGACACAATTCAGCTCACAGTAGCAGGAAAGAAACCATAAGACCACAGCCCTCTCAAGCTGATACTTTCCTCCCTGTCCTCTCCCCCTACCTCTCCCCAAAAAGCTGTTCTTCTAACCAGTAGTAACCAATTAATTATGTGGTTCTCCCCCATGCTTCTCTGTCCCAGGTGATACTGGGCTCCCACCACCTGTATGTCCAGTGTCTGCTTGGGTTGAACTAATATTAATGAAGGGCCTGCTCATCTCTAATACTAATGAAGGTTCCTTCACATCTCTAATCCCACTGAATCTTAACAACCACCTGGGAGACTGGGAGTTACCACTCTCATTTTCTAGATGAGGAAACCGAGGCTCAGAACGATCATGTGACTTGTTCTTGCTCAGCCATCTGGAAGGAAGTAGAACTAGGGGTTGAGCCCAAGTCCTGACCTTGAGTCTACCATTCTTCCCACCACACCAGACAGCAGTCCTTCCAAGGTAACAGATTCCTTCAGGCCCCGGGAGCTCGAGCCAGAGGAGGGGCTTAGGGTTACAGGGACCTGGGGTGCTGCATTTGGGGAATACTGAGCAGGGGCTAAAAGAAGTGCTCGCCCTCCTATCCAAAAAAGTCTCAAGGATGTTTGATTTCCCCAGGAAGTGTTGAAAGGAAGCAAGCTTTCCTATTGGCCTCTTTAGGGGGCCCTGGTCATGTCTCAGAAACTGAAGAGAAAGGGAGTCTGCAGTCTAACAGGATGGATGGTGTATATGGGCGTCTGTGTGTGTGTGTAGGTAGAGGGTACCCCACAGTGCTCCGTGATGGAGAGGTAGGAGGTATAAGCAGAGCCCCCAGGATGGCTCAGAATGTTTTTTCAGGGTCAGAAGGTCCTGGTCCAGGACCGCAGAAGACTGGCTCAGATGGTGGCCAGAAAGACTCATCTCTTCCCTCAAGAATCCCTGGAGCTTGTGGGGTACAGTGAGAAAGGCAAGCCCGGGTAACCCCACCACCTCCAGGAAGAAGAGGGACGCCCTCGTCTGAGCAGCATTTCCCTGCCCCTCTCCTCACATACACACTCATCCCACCGCCCTGGGCTGCTGCCTCTGCTGCTCGGTCCCCCATCCCTGCCCCCCACAGCCCCGCACTGTCTGACTTACTATGTGTAGAGGAGACATCTGAGCGAAAAGTCCTCCCACTTAATTCATTACAAGTAAATTGGATGGTATTGATAGATGACCCGGGTCAGCAGGATTTTCCTGCCTAAACTAGCTTCCTCGGGGTTGGCAGTTCCTGGTGCTTCATAATTGTGTGTTGAACTAATTGATTAATTAACTATGGGAGAATCCTTGATCTCCATAAGAAAAATGACCATCTCTGGTATGGGAGAGGCTGGAAGGGCAGCAGGAGACAAGAGTAAGTTTAGATTTCTGTCTGATAAAGATCTAAGAGTCACATGTATAATTGAAAAATTATACACAGTATCTAATACCACAAGGCTACTACTGGAGGGAGGGGAAAGCAGTCCTCTGCACCCCCCAGACCTGCCACGAGTCCCTCTCCTGAAAGGTCCCAGCTTCAAATCTTTTAGGTGTCTCTTCTGGCATTTCCCTCTATATTTGTACGTAATGTGCTTTACCGCCATCTCCCAACTTGCTAGAGCCTCGTTTCAAATATCTGGTGATCCCTGGCTTCCTGTTCATGTTTTACCATGATCCTTGGAAAAGCTGGTTGGAAGCCTAGGGGGCAGGGGGAGATGCCAGGCTTGTTGACTGATGGGACTCTCAAATATCATTACTTATAGGCCTTTCTTCTCAATGTCCCCGGAAAGGAATCCGCCAGAACCCTGCCAGAGGGAGTAGAGTCGGGTCACTAGCATCGTAGGAGCGGAGCAGGGGAAGAGAGCAGAGGGTCTGTTCAGCAGGCAGGTCTCAGAAGATCCCCATTTCTGTTGCCCCACTCCCCTTAGCTGTGCTTGGTGTCCCTGTGTCTGAAACCTACATGGACCAACCTCCCTAAAAGTAAACTGTCTTGGGAAGTCACTTGGCTATTTGAAATGGGAGTAAAAATCTGGGGTCTAATTCCCTCTTTTATAAACTTTCAGACCGTCCCCCTGTTTCCCCACACGTGCCCCTTGGCCTTCAGAGGCCCCAGGTGTCTCTGATTCCTGAGCTTTTCTGAGCCTTGTCTTGCAACGTGTGCTCTGCAGGGACTTGGCATTGCTGAGCAAACAGAAACCCCAGCAGTTTCTGCTCCTCTATCTGCCGGTCCATCTTCCACCACGTGACACCTCTTGTCCTCTACGGTCCCCTCTCCCCTTCCTTTTCTCCTTGTAGGTCTGTACATTTCCCCCCTTTACTCTCCTCTTAGCTGGGTTTGGGAAAGAAGTAGAGATAAATGTGTGTTTCCAGACCACCATGTTTAATCACACCGCTGCTTTGTTTTCCTCAGCACTTTATTGTGTAGCGGTGTGAGGGCACCTAGCACCGTGCACTAGTTACCTGTTTGCTTGTCTCTCTCCCTAGTAGACTGGGAGGAGAGAAATTGAGTCTTACTCATATTTTCATATCCCTAGTGTCTAACACAGGACCTGGTATACAACAGGCACTCAATAAGTGTGTGCTGAATAATTAGATGGGCCAATTGGCCTCAGTCTGCCCATCTCTAGCTTTGAAGCCATGGTGTCTCGCTTTCTATGCGTCTGTGATTGGGGAGAAGGTGCCACTGAGGGAATGGCGTGGTCCCTTGGGCTGTAGCAACTGTGCTACTTCTAGAAGAAGGTGGCCGCAGGATTGCATCTCAGCAGCACCACCTCTGCATGTCTTCCCTCCTGTGTTTCAGGGAGCAGTGTGTGCCCAGCCCTGCCCACCAGGGACATTCGGCCAGAATTGCAGCCAGGACTGTCCTTGCCACCATGGAGGGCAGTGTGACCACGTGACTGGGCAGTGCCACTGCACAGCCGGATACATGGGCGACAGGTAAGGAAGCTGTTAACTCTCGTCCTTGCTGTACATAATACTCCTTTTCACAGCAGCCTTGAAGAGAACAGCTCAGCTTTACCGGTCCATGGCCTTCTTCTGCCAGCTTTCCTGTTCCTTTCTCAGAAAGCATTCTGAGTCCTTCTGCCAACCCATCCTTCCTGGCCCTCAGCCTGCTGAGGGTACCCACCCCCACCCCCAGCCCAGTGACCCAAGCCCTGAACTTGCATTGACTCACCTGCGGAAGCGGGTGGGCACCTACCACCACTCTCTACTTGCTGCCCACCTGGAGAGAGGCAGTGGCACCGATAAGCCAAGGAAGCTGAGCGTGCAAACTCAGTTCACACATTCTGCACAACTGCTTTTAGAAGTGGATTTTTATTCCTGACGTGAGTTCTGCCAACGTCAGTTTGCATCCTCTGAAGGCCTGCGGCCTGAGAGCAGACCGATCAAGGGCACCAATGTCCTGGTATCAAACCAGCCTTGCAACCTTAGTGGATGACCCACAAAACACATAACGGAGGGACTGCCAGACGTGCGCACTTGCCATGGTAAGAAAGAGTCCACGATGATAGGGCAGGCGCTCCAGAAGGAGTGGAAATGACAGCCAAGGTGTCTGACGGTGAGTGGATTCAGAGCTGGTGGAGGACGTTTGTCCAGAGAACCAGGGCAAGTCCCCTCCCTCTCACTCTGAACCACGTGTGTCTCTTTGAGCAGAGAGACGGGCAGTAGAGAGGAGGCTGTCACACCATTGCCTGCTTCTGTGGGATCCATGCTTCACCTTTGGCCCTGGATTTTGTTACTCTGCTTCCCCTGCCCAGGTAACAGCAGGAAGCAGGAATCAGGCCTGAGTTAACCAATGAGTCCTTCTGGCTCTGACCAACATAATTGCACCCCTCCAGCTCTCACTGGAGTCAGCCCCAAGTCCTCAGTGGTCCAGAAAAGAGATTTTCCGTTTTTAGCTTTGCGCTTACATACCCCCAGCCTGAAGTCTTTTAAGCCAGATCTGATCTCTTTGTGAGCCAGTGTTCATCTCCGTGAGCATCCCTGGCACAGAATGCGGGGTGTGGCATCTGGGGATCCATCCCTCTCTGACCTCTGTTGGAGACCGCATCTCTAGGCGGAGAAGGGAGGCAGGACTAAAGCACTGAGCCATCTTCCCATCCTCACCATCTCCCTGGATAAGTAGACATTTGGGATGAGCCAGCAGGGACAGGAGCCGGAAGACCCCAGAACCAGAGCAGGACCCTTTGTTTCCGGCCACTTTCACAGGAGAGCGAATACAGCCCATTCATTGTTGGAGACAAGCGGGCCCAGGGTTCCAGCTGACTGGACTCAGCACCGGCGGATCCAACCTCATTGGTGCCAAGATGTACCAAATGGAGAAATACCCCTCGTCCCTCTTGCTGGGGCCCAGCCCATGATCCTGAGGCAGAGAGAAACCCCAAAAGCCTCGGGGTCTTCAGGCAAGCTTCATCAACCATCTACAGATGAAGAATTCCTAGAAGGGCCTGGTAGCATTTGGGTTTCCCACCTAAACGGGCTGCCTGGTGTTTAATATTTTGTAAAATTGGCTCCATTTATTTTGTAGGTGACAGCTGCAGGAACCCACCCCACATCATTGCGAGCATATTAAAGTTGAGTGGGTGTGATAATGCAGGCCTCCCCGGATAGGCAGAATCCAGTGCAAATTAAACATGAAACGTAATGAGGGTTTTGCAGCTCATTTTGTAATTTAATTGAGCAATGTATCTGGTTGTTAATGGCAATATCGGACACGTAAGATTGATATGTTGCAAAGGAAGGATGTTTAAGTAGAAAACTAATTCCTGCTGTGATTACCCTTCTGTTCCACAGGCCCCATCATTAGCGTGCTTTGTGTAAAATTCATTAGCAGTCGTTGCTTGATCTCTAAATAAATAAGTTGTTTAACTTGTGGGTAGAAAAAAAAAAGAGGCTGATTATGTAAATGGATTAGGTTGTCAATATTATTTCTAGATTCTTTTTCCGGGGCTGTGGAGTCAGGAGTCAGTCCCTTTGTAAATATGATGGGGCAGGACGTGCCCTTCAGAGAAGGGAGCTCATTGTCCGGGCTGTACCCAGTCCTGCTGCATGGGAGGGAGAAGGAATGTTCCAGTGAAAAGGAGGAATCCGGAGGTGTCTCCAGGCTGGGGTTTCTTCCCCTGGTGTCTGAGACATCCAGGAGAGGCAACCTGAGTGACCTCTGGGGAAATCCTTTCTGAGGCAGAACAGGGGCTGGCAATCCAGGCAGCAATCGTACAGCTCTTCACCTCTCTGTGTCCTCCCCTTCCGCCTTGGTTTTCCTCCTCACCTCCTCCATCCTACTCTCTCCTCCTTCCTGTCTTCCACCTCACATTCCTTCTCTCTCTATCCCCTTCTCTCTTTCCTCTTCCTCCCTCTCTTTTCTGTTCTTTCCCTTGCTGAGGCCTCAAACTGACTAAAATGCAGCAAGATTTGTAGGAAGACGATCTGGGTGTGGTGGAAAACACTGCTTCCAACTCAGGACTCACCAAGAGTTAATAAAGATGCTAAGGCTGTATTTTTTTTTATTTTTTTTGCTGTACGTGGGCCTCTCACTGCTGTGGCCCCTCCCGTTGTGGAGCACAGGCTCCGGACGCGCAGGCTCAGCGTCCATGGCTCACAGGCCCAGCCGCTCCGCGGCATGTGGGATCTTCCCAGACCGCGGCACGAGCCCGTGTCCCCTGCATGGGCAGGCGGACTCTCAGCCACTGCGCCACCAGGGAAGCTAAAGGCTGTATTTTTTTAAACATCTTTTATTGTTCCCCTCTGCCCTGATTATTGTAGAAGATATATAGAAAACCTGAAAATGGGAAAACATAATCATTAAACGACTTGTAATTCCTCAAGTCCACTCCAATGTTAATATTTGGAATTCTTCCCTTTGAGCTTTTTCATGCCAGAAGGGATCTGTTAGGAGAACTATAGAAAACAGTATTAACAAGAGTAATAATAAGAACTAACACTTCTTACTGAGCCCTTACCGTGCATGGGGCACCTTTCTAAGGGTTTATACACATTGCCTCATTTAATCCTCAAACACCTGGTGAGGTTTAGTTATTATCCTCCCATTTTGTGACGAGGAAGCAGATGTCAGAGCTGTAAAGTCAGTTCCCCATTCTCTGCACCTTTGAAGCACTGTGGGGATGCGGTTAATCCAAAACCCCAGAGTCCATAGGCCATTTCTGTTCGTCTGTCTCTGGGACGCAGGGGTTGCCCATCTCTTTTACCCCATATGCCCCCAGGTTTACCCCTTAAGTTGTTGCTGTGAAGATGAATTTACATCCCCTGGGGAATATCCCTGGGCTGAGATGAGGGGTGTTGGGCACATCCAGGAAGCTAGGCAGTCAGCAGCAGAGGTTACACCCACCCACAGAGGACCCACAACCAATGGATGTCAGTTGATGAGTCAAATAATGATCATTATGCTGGGAGTTCCAACTCCCAGGCCCCAGCAGAGGCAGGACACAAAGGGGGCCAGGTCCTCTTCTTTGGGGGGCTCCCCGGCTGATGGAAGAGGCTCAGCCCCTGCCTTGAGGGAACCCCCCCCCCCCCGTCCAAGGAAGAGGAAATAGTCCCTGTCTTGGGGGATTCTCCAGTCTGATGCAGGAGGATGCATCTTGTACTCATGGGGAAACTCGACACTGGTGGAAGAGGATCGTCTCCCATATGGCAGAGAGACTGTACATCTGTCCGAAAGACTCGAAGAGCAGAGACAATGAGTAGAAATAAAATTACCCCATTTCCTCAAATCTGAAATGCCACCGATGGTGAGATGCATCATTAGTTTATATATTGCTAAGAATGAAAAACACTGAAAATTAAACTATGACATGCCATCAGTTATAAGACTTAACTGGCTTCAGAGATGTTAGAATATATTTTTAAAACAAGGTTTGTTGTTTACTGGGTACAGAAGTTTCAGTTTGGGAAGATGAAAAGGTTCTAGAGATGGTGCACAACAATATAAATGTACTTAATTCCACTGTACTGTACACTTAAAAATAATTAAAATGGTAAATTTATGTTATACTTATTTACTGCAATCAAAAAATGAAAAAAAAACACATAAAGCCTATAATCAATGAAATATGATAGTATGAACTCAGTCCTGGGGACTGAGGGGAACTGGCATGGAGGAGGGAATGGACTGGGGTGACTAAACCACGGAATACTTCCTGGAGGAGGAGAGGAAAGAGGGGAGGAGACTGTGAGGAGGTGCAGCACACCAGGCCCAGGCCTGGAGGCAGGGGCGGTACGTGCTGGGTGGATCTGGAAGGGCAGGTGAGGGGGCATAGCCTCACCCTCCTCTGCTCTCCCGCAGGTGCCAAGAGGAATGCCCCTTCGGGACCTTTGGCTTCCAGTGCTCCCTGCGCTGTGACTGCCACAATGGGGGTCAGTGTTCACCCACCACCGGTGCCTGCAAGTGTGAACCTGGCTACAAAGGCCCACGCTGCCAGGAGCGGCTGTGCCCCGAGGGCCTGCACGGCCCGGGCTGCAGCTTGCCCTGCCCCTGTGATGCCGACAACACCATCAGGTACGAACGATCTGGGGACAGGTGAGCGGGGGACAGGGGTGGGGTGGGCCCTGGTGGGGAGGGGGCTGTCAGGGCACAAAGCCCACCTCCGGCCAGATCATCCAGGCAGGCAGTGAAAGGGCTGGGACCTCAGCAATCACCTTCACTGGCCAGTCTGATGAAAAGACGTAGGCCAACCTGAGACCCCACACACAGGAGCATGAGGGAACTTGGTGGCCCTCAGGGAAACAGGGCAGGGATGGGTGGGAACGTGGGGGGCTAGGCTCAGGGTACCAGGGCCCTGGGGGCGTGGTTGGGAGAACTTTTCCCTTCCACAGAGTTTGCATCTAACCAAGCCCTTTACCAGCCCCGAGGGGCCCAGAGACAGGACCACCAAGGCAGAAGCAGGGGACTTGAGCCACAGACGGACAGTGTTAGAAGGGACCTTAAAAACTGGTATGGCTGACCTGGGGCCTGCAGAGGGCTGTCCCCTGGGGCCGTGGCTAGAGTGGTGGAGCGGGAGGGACAGAGGGCAGGCCCACAGGGTCTTGGCTTGGGGTGGCCTTTCCCTGCACTCTGTGTCAGTGGTTTTTGTTTTTTTTTTTTTGCGGTACGCGGGCCTCTCACTGTGGTGGCCTCTCCCGTTGCGGAGCACAGGCTCCGGACGCATAGGCTCAGCGGCCATGGCTCACGGGCCCAGCCGCTCCACGGCACGTGGGATCTTCCCGGACCGGGGCACGAACCCGTGTCCCCTGCATCAGCAGACGGACTCTCAACCGCTGCGCCACCAGGGAAGCCCTGTGTCAGTGGTTTTTAATCTAGGACTGGGATTATTTATCTAGGGATATCTGTATAGTTTGTCAGCGAGTGATATTGCGCTGCCATTACGGTGACTGTCATGGTTCTATATAAATGCCCTCCATCTGTCCCTCTAATGTTGCACGTTTTTAGTAGTTTGGAAGTTTTGTATATTTATTGTATTAACAGAGTGTCATAAACTAAAATGCCGTTTACTGGATGTTTGTATAATTTTAAATACTGTATTAGCACTTCAGAGGCAGAATTATGCTGAGGGCTTAATGTATATACAAATAACCACATTTGATTTTTAAGAAATCATCTGTGTATAATTCTGTCATGTGCTACTAAACAAAATAAATAATATAAAAGGCTCAGTTAAAAAAAAAAAGTGGGGCTTGGGGACATCGGGCTGAAGCCGGCCCCAGCCTTGCTTCCTGGAAGTGGAGATGCCAGAGCTGCCCTGGGCCACATCCCCCAGCTCCCCTCACTGCCTGCTTCCTGCACCAGCTGGCACCGCCCTCTGGTGATAAATGAGGCTGTCGGGCCCCAGATTAAAGCTTCAAATGAGGCTGTCAGGCCCCAGATAAATGCTTCCACAGCTCTCTATGTGGCCGCCTCTTATTAGGATGGTGCAAGGTGAGGGGCATCTCCCTTCTCCCCTCAGGCCTGCAGGACAGCTCAGGGCAGGACCAGCAGCAGTGGGTGCTGCTTCTGTTGGCAGGCCAGAGAGAGATACCTCTGCTTTGTAGCCTCGTCTCTGGGACAGCCAGGACCTAGCCTCGGCCCCTCTTCATTTCCAGCTTTTGATTCTCCACACATCACTCAAGGTCCTCGGGTCACTGTAAGCAGAGGCCTCTTAGAAAGTGTCATGGCTTTGACAGAATCTGTCCCCAGTCCTCAGTTCCTGGAGCTAAGTGGCTCGGGCAGTGCTCTCTGCAAGGGCAGAGGGTTGGGAAGGAGACCATTAAGAGGGGGCCTTGGAGCCAATGGAACGGGCTATATATGACTTAAGCATTCATTCGCTCAGTCATTCATTCAACAAACACTGAGAGCCTGCAGGGCCAAACACAAGAAAGAAAGGGTCCCTCAGCACGAGTCCAGCCCTCAGGAACTTAAGTCTGGAGCACCTACCCACACTGAGGACCTCCTACCATATTTCTTCAAATACAAGACAACACCAGTAGTGAGGCACTGCTTTATTTTATGTACTACTAAAACTGAGCCATGACATACCATTGACTGCCTAGCACATCCATCAGAGAGCTGAAAATGTGGGGCAAAGTGCATCTTAGAATCAATGAAATATATGCGGCTGGCCCTGCTGGGTCCCAACATGTACTCAAGTAACTGTGACCCAGGGCTCTGTACAGAAAGCACCACAGGAAACCGCTTCACTGGTCAGGGAAGGCTTCCTGGAGGAGGTGGCTTCTGGGCTGGGTCTGGAGGGTGGGGTGAGAGCTCCAAGACTCTAAACACGGGGGTCCCACATGGCTGGTCGGGGGACTGGGCAGCTGCCTCAGGCTGTTCCACGGGTGAGGGGCAGCACCAGGAACCCCTACCCCTGCAGGGATGCCAAGGGAGGACCGTGTCAGGGACAGGAAGCTAGGCTGCCACTGAGGTCCAGTGCAGGGAGAGTCCCTGCCACGGAGATCCAACCAACCCCCAAATTAAAGAGCTGTTGTTTTCTCCCCATACCCAAGCAGCCATGCCCTGCATCATTTATCCCTCCTCTGAAGGAGTCCTCCATGCATTTTTAATCTGGAAGGACTCCCTCTTCTCCGTCGCTAATCTCAGCCCATTCAATATTGATGATTATTTGCTTTACTGTCTTTAACACGTGTCACATTTCAGGGGTTGGGAGGCAGTAGTGCTTCTTAAGCGTGGGGACCCCGAGAGTGCCTGGCAGCCAACCCCCCAGGCCGGGTTCCCCCGTGTCTGCTTGACTATCTCCTTGCAGGGAGCTGTGTCACAGCCCGAGCTTGTGGGTCTCTGCGGCCTCAGCCTTGCACGGAGCCTGGCACAGAGCAGACCTTCAGGAAAAAGAATTGCTGAATTCATCTTAAATCGCCCATTCCTCTAGGGTGGCTCTGCTCCCGAGCTGATGTCACCCTATTTCTAAAATATATTTCACCCCTTTCCCTTGGCATACGGCCCCAGTGACTGAAGCCCCGGACACTCACCGAATTTTTATTTAGTCTAACTCAGGATTTCTCAGCTTCGCCACTGTTGATATTTTAGGCTGGATAATTCTTTGTTGTGGACAGCCATCCCGTGCATTGCAGGATGTTTAGCAGTATCCCTGGCCTCTGCCCACTAGATGCCAGTAGCAATACCCCAGCCCCAAGTTCTAACAACCAAAAACGTTTCCTAGGTGGGGTGGGAGGAGGCAGAATTGCCCGAGGTTGAGAGCCTGTGGTCTCACTGCACCTCTCTCAGGCTGCACTTGGCTTTGTTCTCAGGGACACAGAGAACAGCTCTCTTCCTCTCTGTGGACACAGGTCACTCCTTTCTTCCTGTGAGCCTTTGTCCCATTCTAGAGCCTTCTCTCGGGATCCAAGAAAAGCAGAGGGATGACTCTAGGACTCCTAATCCCAAGGGTTAAGCTGCAGGTTCTGGGTAGGTCTGGGACCCCTCAGTCCTGGCCTTAGAACTACCTCTCCCTGAGTCAGTGTCCTGATACGTGTACTTCTCCTCTGTCTTAGTTTCCCAATCTGTCTATCGCCTTTTGTCAGCCCAGTGGGGGACAAAAGTTTTCTTGTGATCTTTGAAAGTGAAGCTTCCACCGAGCTCCCTGAGAGAGAGTGTGGGATCCCCAGAAACCTTGCCTCATTTCCCTGCGGGCTTCGGCAAAAGCTTGCAGCAGAGCCCCTCCAAGACAGCTTGCCAGGAAGGCCTTAAGCATCTTTCCTAGAGAAGCAAAGTCTTCCCAACCCCCAACCATAGAAAACCCTCCTCAGCTAGCCCCAGCCTCTCCCGGCTCTGTGCCCCTCTGGAGAGGCTGCTTCAAAGAGAGGTTGAACCCACGTGCCCTGGGAAGGAAGAGTGGCTGGTGAAATTCCCCACACTTCATTCCCTTTATAAATGCTTTGTAGCACACACAAAGCAGCCTCCTTCCTTCATAAAGGAATAACCTTGAGAAAGTGAACACCTGTGTGTCAGACCTCGTCCATGTTCCCTCCACAATTGGATTGTCATAGACGAATTCCAGCAGCCATGAGAGTGGATTACCTTTGAAAGATTTGACTTAGCCACCAGATGCAGCATGGATAGCAATCTCAGAGCAGCCAGGAAAAACTGGCAGAAAATTCCACCCTGAAAAGGTTCCTGTATTGTTCAGCTTTCGGCTCCTATTAACTTGTGATTAATCTATGTCTGGGGGAAATGGAGAAAGGTGAGGGGGGGGAAAAAAAAAGGCAGAGCAAAAGCCAAACCAGCCTAAGCAGGAGTCACTTGGCTGCCAGGTGACCCAAGGGAATGGCTCTGCCACCAACGGGGCAGGGAGCAGGGTACACCAGGGAGAGGGAGTTGTGACAGAGGTGCCGAGAGCACGGCGACGGCAGTTTTCAGTCCTAATCGCTGAGCCAGCGATCATTCCCCACCCTCTTTTCAAAGGGATTTTGGAGTTTCTATAATAAGTGACAGGTGATCGAATTAAGAAAACAGAGGTGTTTTGTTTTTTAAAATAGAATTTTAGGGATATGAAAGGAGAGAGGAAGAAATTATCTCAGGTTTGGTTTTGAGCTTTCTGGTTTCTCAGAGTAAAAAGGTAAAATTGGCGTTGAGACACACCCCTAACATCCAAAACACCGACGGCTAAGACGGAAAGAAGAAACGCAGGAGAGCTTAGAGGCCAGCGTTCGCCAGCTCACTGTGCGTCTAGTATGCAATTCACAGGGTGGTCTTCACACCAGAGCAAGGACCTGTAACGAGAGAATCTCTTGAAAGACGGGCAGAAGGACAACTGAGACTTTTCAGAATCCCAGGGGCCGGACAGAGCTGATCGCGGCCGCCAGCGCTGCCGGGTTACTTCCTGGGTCCAAGCATGTCAGTCTCCACGACTGTGACCGAGCCAGTCCCTCTGACCCTAAACCCAAACCTCAGAGGAGACCCCTGAAAAGTTGGAACCGAGAAAGGCCATGCCTTAGGGCTTTGCTGGGAGTGTTGGGGACAGAGGGGAGCACCCCACAACTATCTGGCTGAGGGTCAGGGCCACCAAGTAGGGGCCCCCTGCCCCATGACACCCGTGCAGGCCACTATTTCCCCTTACAGTGTGGGACCCAGGGAGGAATTTATCTGGAACCATAAAAGTCAGGAAGTCTTCAAACATCCATTCTTTACACACATTCTTTTTTACATATTATAATTTTTATCACTTTTTATCTGTTTATGAATATAATAGATGCTCAGTTTGAGAATGTCAGAGAATACATAGAAATTTAAAGAAAAAACTCAGAGCCACTCATAATTTCTCGATCCAGGGGTGAGTACAAAAACCATTTTGTTGTAATTTGTTCATTCTTCATCCATTTCTGATTCACTTTGTTTTCATATTTTAGATCATGACTTTATACACAATTTGCTTATTTCACTCACCCTTATGTCATATCATTAAATAGACTGGAAAACATTTGAATAATTCTCTAACATGCCTTCACATGAATTATCATAATTCATTTAACCAGTACCCTGGTGTCAGAGGCAGCATGAGGCAGTGACCAGAACATGGCCAGACAGACCTGGGTCAGAATCCCAGCTGCCACTGAGTTAGTGGTGTGACCTTGGGCAAGTCATATAACCTCCAAGTGCCATCTGAAAAATAGAGGCTCTAATGCCTAACTCACAGGCTTACTTGAAGATTAGAAATATAGGTGTAAAGTGCCTGGTGCTTTAATAGCCTGGTCACATATTATTTATGATTATATAAATTGCCCCCATTTTTCCACTGTTATAAATAATGCTTTGGGGAACATCTCCATGCATAAATCTTTCTCTACAACTGTGACTATTTCCTTAGGATAGATTCTTAGAAATGGAATTACAAGACCAAAGGGTCTGAATATTTTTAGGACTCCTGATATATAACCCCACATTGTTTTCTAGAAACCTTTACCAGCATTGAGCATTATCCCTTTAAAAAAAAAACCAAAAAAACTTTACCATTTTGATAGAGAAAAAGTGATATCCAGTTGTTGTTTTGATTTGATGATTAATGAGACTAAACATTTTCCAAAATGACTATTAGCTGCTTGTACTTACTATTCAGGAACTGTCTGCTCCTGTCCATCCCTCGTTTTCCATGAGAAAATCAGGGCTCCCGGAAACTGGCTGGGCTTCACACAATTAGTTTGTCCGTTACTTCATTTGGCAAATATGTATTGGTATCTTCATGGTGCCAGGGACCCTGCTGGCCATTGGGGTACAATACAGAAGTGAAATAGACAGGCAAAGGGCCCTCCCCCATGGAGCTGCCACCTGGTGGGGAGACAGGTGATGAACAAGTCAACAGACAGAAAATAATTACTCGTAGTGAAAGTCCTGTTCATTCCCAAATATTTAATTGGACAGTGAGTATGAGCCAGGCACTGGGGATCCACCAATGACCCAGGGAGACAAAGCCCATATCCTCGTGGAACTTAGCAGAACCGAGATTTGTACGTAGGCTTCTCTTGCCAGCCCAGAGCATGCGCCATTGGACCACATCCCTTGAGTTGGACTCCAGGGCAAGGAAGCAGGGAATCCAAGAAGCTTGTCTCTGACATCCAGCGTCTTCTCTGGAGTGTTAGTCTGAGTTCTCCCAGAAGCAGATGCCGAGAGCAAGAGATTTACTAGGGACACAGCTATGAGGGAAAATGGGGAAGGGGCTGAGGAGGCTAGGGGAGCATGAGACTGCAATGCAGGTCTGACCTGTGTGAAGGAAAGAGAGAAGGAAGGAAGGTTGATTGGAAAGTTTTAGACTGAAGCACAGTTCTAAGAAAGTTTGGCGAGATGGGGAGTCTTTAATCCAAACTTGTCCATCAGAGGAGTCCCAGATTTGCCAAGAATGTGTCGACCTTAATATCCCTGCTGTGCTCTAGCTAAGAGCAGCCCAGGGGAAGTGTGACCTCTGAGAAAATGTAGTGATGGATTTCAGACACAGTAGCTAGGGGGCCTTCAATCAATTACACTCCCCACAGAAGCTCCCCAGAGAAGAAAATGGTCACCACACCCAAGATCATGGATGCATATTGGCTGTTGGATCAGACCTCTGCCAGCCAGAGTTTGCCTGACTCTCTAGAGGTCATGCCAGGCAGCCCCTGCCTCCAGCCAAATGGTTCTTTTGCTGGGCTCGCCAGAGAGGGGATGGAGACGATCTTGCTCGCTCTTAAAGAGCCCTAGCAATGCATGGATGGAGGGTATTCTCTCCAATATAGACATTGCCATAGAGGGGAGGACACATCTACCCCAAGGTTCCATTTTAACTCAACAAATGTTCATTGAGTACCTACAATATGCAGAGTAACTGGGTCTCACTGCAGCCCTCTTGTGCCTGCCCACACACTGGGCATCTGCCTTGGGTGCAGAGTGGGTGAAGCGCTGGACCTCCCAGTCCATAAGGGAAGAGGCTGCCTCCTGCTTTGGTCTCTGTGTATTTGTATTATAAAGAGCACTTGTTTGGGAGTCAGGAGACCTGTGTCTAATCCTGATTTTGCTACTTCTTTGCTATGTAACTTTAGACAAATTATATAACAACTCTGAGCCTCAGTTTCTTGGGGCTAATAAGAAACATGTAATAAGACCATGTAATCTTGGCATCGTCTGGCAAACAAATAATACATTAAGAAATTTAACCTCAGAACTTCCCTGGTAGTCCAGTTGTTAAGAATCTGCCTTCCAATGCAGGGGATGGGGGCTCGATCCCTGGTTGGGGAACTAAGATCCCACATGCTGTGGGGCAGCTGAGCCCGCGTGCCACCACTACAGAGCTCACACGCTCTGGAGCCCACGCACCGCAACTAGAGAGAAGGCCACGCCTCAACGAAACATCCCACGTGCCATAACAGAAGATCCCACGTGCCGCAACTATAAATAAATAAATAAATAACTCACAACTGGGGGAAAATACTTGCCAAAAAAAAAAGGAAAGAAATTTAACTTCAGAGGCCCTTCGATCCTGCAGCCCTGGGCAGACCAGACTTGGGGTGGGCAGAGGGTGGAATATGGCCGCATTCCTGACCAGACTGTCCTCTCATCCTTCTCTCATCTGCTCAGCTGCCACCCAGTAACTGGAGCTTGCACCTGCCAGCCGGGGTGGTCTGGCCACCACTGCAATGAATCCTGCCCTGCTGGCTACTATGGCGCTGGCTGCCAGCTGCCTTGCACCTGTCAGAATGGCGCCAACTGCCACAGCGTCACTGGGAGCTGCACCTGTGCCCCAGGCTTCATGGTAAGATGGGAGGGGACTCCCGTGGCCTCTCCGCCCACCCCCACCCCTACACAGGAAAGGAGGGGCCAGCTCCTCCCACTTCCAGGTGGAATCAGGGAGTGTGGCCCTGTGCCCATGGATGCAGAATGAGGGTGTCTCCACGTGCCACTCAGAGATAGAGTCCATGACCAGAGAGCTGCCAAGGCTGTTCTTAAAGGCCAATTCTACTGGGGTTTGTAACTGTAAAAGTAATGGAAGGAAGGTGTCTTTCCGTTGTCCCTTCACCCTGAAACACCAGTTGTCTTCTTTGGTGTTTGGACAAAGAAGACAACTGGTTTGGATATTGCGTCCATATCCTACGCACACAGTATTTTTCCATCATGATAACCACAGAGCACGTAATAAGCCCAGCGTTTTGTATTTTGCTTTCTTTTTTCCCATATTTGCTGCTTGGGCTTCTTAATTATCATTTTAAATGGCTGCATGACACTGCAGGAGCTGATGGCCCCCCTGCTGACTCAGCCATTCCCTTACTGCTGAATACTGATTTGTTTCCAACGTTCACAACAAATGTTGCAATGAGCATCTTTCTACAAAGGCCATTTCCCCTCCTATTGAGTTATTTCCTTAGGGTGACTTCCCGGGGTCGGTGGGCATAATGTATTTATGGCTCCTGATGGATGTGGCCCTATTACTTTCCTCAAGGGTTATATAAAGCTACGCCTCCACCAGCCATGTATGAATGTACCTATTTCAAACCAACTCTGCTAACATTCTTTTCTTTTTTTAATTTTTGCTAATGATATAGGTAGGAAATGGCTCCTCAGTATTGCTCTAATTTGCATTTCTCTGATTACTAGGGAGAGTAAACCTTTCCCCCACGTGTTTGTTTACTATTTGTATTTCCTCATGAATTATGCTGGTCTTTATGAGGTTTGATTCCGGGGAAAACTTGACATTGGAAGTGGAATCCTGTTCAATGGCAGGGCATGCCCAGTGGGTCTGAGGACCCAAACATTCAGGGGACCCCCGTGGCCAGATTTTTTATGGTGCTATAAGAAGTGGTTTGTGTAGTACAAAGAGTGGCCTTTGCAACCAGCCCGGGGTCACATCCTGGCTGTCCTACTCACCAACTGTGTGACCTTGGGCCAGTGAGTTAACCTTTCTCAGGATCAGTTTCCTCACCTGTGGAATGGAACACCTGCCTTGCAAGGTTGCTGTCAGGTGTAGAGATGGGCTATACTGTATGGAGTACCTTGCCTCAGTGCTTCTCAGACTTTAGTGAACTCAGAAACCACCAGCAGACCTTGATAAAGTGCAGGTTCTGATCCGGTAGATCTGAGGAGGTGCCTACAGTTCTGCATTTTTTTTTTCCTTCAAATATTTATTTTTTATTTATTTGTTTATTTATTTATTTTGGCTGTGCTGGGTCTTAGTTGCAGCACACGGGCTCTTCGTTGCAGCATGCGGACTTCTTAGTTGCGGCATGCGAACTCTGTGGCACGCGAACTCTTAGTTGCGGCATGCATGCGGGATCTAGTTCCCCGACCAGGGATTGAACCTGGGCCCCTTGCATTGGGAGCGTGGAGTCTTACCCACTGGACCACTGGGGAAGTCCCGGTTCTGTGCTTCTAATCAAGCTCCCAGGTGATGCCAGCGCTACTGGTCAGTGGCCCCACTTTGAGTAGGAAGAGGATGGTGCTCAACTTGGGCTGCCCATTGGAATCACCTGGGGAGCTCTACAAACACTGATGCCCCTGCCCTCTCCTGGAGATGCTGATATATTTGGGCTGAGTGTGGTCTGGTTGTGGCCAGTGTGCTGCCAAGGTGGCGATCCACTGGAAGGAAGCCCTTGTCATGATGTAAGAGTACAGGTTTGCCTGGTGACAGTGTCTTTTGTGGGCAGGTTGCCCCTGGTCTATACAACAAAACTCTGTTCAGCTCCTTCTTCCCCCTCCCCAATGCAGATAAAACTGGGTGAAGGTGACTCCAGTGGCATCTTCAAAAGAGAAAAAGATCTGTCCCTCCTGCAAATTTCCTCTCTAATTTACCTTTATTGGTGTGAGCTTGGTCCATAACTTCCATAGAAAAATGGAGTGCCCGAGGTTTGGGGTTTGGGTAGGAGCGAATGGTTGTTTGGGATTAAAAGTCTCACCTAGTCGAGTGATCAGGTGACTGAAGCCAGAATGAAGTGACCACACAAGACTTCTCGGGGGACATCCAGACCCCAGTCCTAGCTTGGCTACCAGGGTAGTTCTGACTTTGGGCAAGTGGCTTCCGCTCTCAGGGTCCTAGTTCCCTCATCTGTAAATGGCGAGTGTGCAGGGGGAGATGAACTGACTGATTTCTAAGATGGTCTACTATGCAGACTCTACGGACCAAGTCAGGAAACACACCCTTCTGGAGGAAATGAGAGAAAGTAGGAGCAAGTGGGTGTGTGTGTGTGTATTGGCCAGGGGAAGGGGACATCACTGAGGTTGTTACAGTCTGATTGTGTACATTGTCTATGGGCCTCCCTGTTCCCCCTTCTTCACCCCCAGCTGCCTGCCTAGTCACTGCTCCTCAAAAGAAGGGGAAATCCAGGCCCTGGGTGGGTGAAGGTTGGGGATGGTCCTAGAGAGGCTAGTGTCTGTGGGCCCACTGCCCCCAGGCCATGGCTCCAGGAATCTGGAGGCCAGGCCCCTGCGTCTCTTCCTTCCATCTGGGATGCAAATGACTTCCTACTCTTGAACTTTGGGGGACTTGGCACTTGTAGGAATCATCTTGATGTGGAGTCCCACCTGCCTGGGGCTCAGGGCTAAACAAGACAGATTGTGAGCGAAGCGGCCCTGGTGAAACCCTGTGAATTCCCGTCCATCTCCTCCCGCCAAGCCTCATTTTACCTGGAAAGGTTCTTTTGGGGCGCTGTCGGGTGTTGAGCAGTAGCTGCTTGAGGTGATTACAGAAGAGTCAGTTGCTCTCATCCAGCGTGGCTCATTCCCGCACACATCAGGTTCCGAGGGGGAAACCAAACCATTGCCCTCGCGCCAGCTTCTGAATGAATGTAACTTCCTGCAGTTAGCCAGCTCTGGTCAGGGTGGGAGATCAGAGCTGTTAGAAAGCAGACTTGGCTGAGACCCTCCCCCAAATGTCCTGCAGTCAGTGATAATTAGCATTGCCTTTATTTGTTAGGTGGTTTGTGAATTTATGCACCTGCCTTTTTCCTTGAAGGAGTTTTAGGGTGGGCAATTAATTTGAGACTAATTAAAAGAACCCTGTTCTGAGAGTTTGGAGACCTTGAGCCTCAGCTCAGTAACCTTGGACATGTCGCTTTACCTTGCTGGGCCTCAGTGTCCTCATCTGTAAGGTGAGAGTCACATCAGTCCTGTCTGCTACTGGATGTGAGTAGCCAACATGGTAATGGATGTGAGGCCTATGCCCAGCTGTCCTCTCCCATCAGAGCTCTTCCTGCCAAGGGCTCTTTAGGGAGGATGTTGGGATACATTTGTGAAAACAGGGTCTCTCAGAGTCTGAGGACTGAGAATGGCCTCAGCCTCAACATAACCATGAGGAGTACTGAACTACCCCTGGGACCCCAGTGGCATGCCTGATCCAGCCAGGTGGTCCCCACCCCCCGAGGCCATAAGAATATGGGGCAGAAGCAAGCCCACCTGGCACTCAGGGTGTTCTAACCCTCACACGCTTTCTCCTTCCTTCCCAGGACACTGGATATTTTCTCTGCCAAGAACTTGGGGGAGCTGCTGAGGGTATGGAAAGGCTAATCAGATGCCCATCCAGCCTTCTAAGAGCTTGTGCCCAATAATAGTCATATTCACGTTAGCAGCAAACACTTACTGAGTCCTTGCCACATGCTTCATCTCTGTTCCTCACAGGAGCCCTACAGAGGTGCCCTTTCACACGCCTCGGCCTGAGAATGAGGGGCTTGAAGTTCAAACAGGATAAGTGACTTGCCCATGATCACAAAGCCAGTAGTGGTGGGAGCCACCACAGCTCTCATCTATTAGATGATAGACTTTGACTGATGGGTCACCATGGAACCACACAAATCTGGGTTCAGATCGTGGCCTTCCAATCCCCACTGTCCCTACTGAAAAGTCACTTATCCTGCCTAAGTCTGAATTTCCTCACCTGTTAAGAGGAGACTTAGCCATGAGAGTGAGAAACTTCAAATGGAAAGTTCAGGGCCTGGATGCCCAGTAAACACTAGATGCCCAGTAAAAGGGCAGTAATTGCTGGTGAAATGTGACAGTGTGGGAGAACTCTGCTTCCCTCAAGCCCGGCACTCCCTTCCAAGGAGAGTGCCAGGATGAGTTATGCCCAGGGAATCCCGATGCAATAAAGCCATAAACGTGCACAGTTGCTGTTCCAGGCAGGTCCACCCAAGCACCTGTGGATCGCCCTCAGTGGTCAGTGTCAGGAGGCACTGTGGGGGGGACATACCTGTCAGTGTTTGGGGAAATGAACATAGGGATGGAAGTGGGAAGAGAGTCTGGGCATTTTACATGTTAGCTTGGCAGCAGCAATGGAATCACTTCGGGTATGCAACGCGGGACTACATTGGGGCTGCTGAGTGCGAGAAAAGAGCCCTGGGCTGAAAGGCAAGAAACCAAGTTCCTAGCTCTGGTTCTTCTAACTCTTGGGGCTTCCATTTCTCATCTATAAGATGGGAATGAAATTCTCTGTCCAACAGAAACAATGGTGCGGGAGCCAATCATTAAAATGGGAGTACTTAAAACTGGGCGTGGCATCGGTTCAGCACCTTGGACAGTTCCCACGAGCTTCTGCTGCAAGGTTGCTCTTGCCCTGTGAGAACCCAGGTTCCTTACCCAGCCAGAGCACCAGGGTGAACAGGGGTAGGGGAAGGCAGAGTGAGGGTCACATGACAGGGGTCTCAAGCTGGCAGAGTCCTGCGAGTGTCCGAGTGAGGGATGATTCAGGAAGTGAGGGGAGGGTATTGTGGTTGAGGGGACTAAGTGGAGCTATCCATCCACTTGGAAGTTGGGGTCCCATCACCCCTCTCC